GTACAAAACTATTATCGATAATTGTACGTGCGATATTTTGTATTATTTTTTACTAATTTAATAACTCCGCTCTTTTCTTATACAGAGTGGGACCATTAAACGTGAACGCCTGAATGTCTGTTGCTTCTTGGAGCGTTCGTTCGGATGGTTCGAATCTCGTCGGAACATCGTGTATCGTGTATCATTAAATTAATGGACACGTCGAAAAAATCACCGAAAACTGTGAAATTCTCTAACAATTCGTTTTCCTGCCACCGCGCAACTTTTATATGCGAGGAGAATATTTGTCCAATTTCAAGAACAGCAGACATTTTAATATTCGATTGTATAATCGTTTCGCTCTGTATAATTTGATATAAGTAAGTGCACGAACAAGGAAGACGACGTCTTCGTTCGAAGTCCCGGAGCTCGACTGTAAAATCGAGCGACGACCGACTCAGCCAATCGATTATTTATTTCTACCGACTAGTTTTAGAAACTGCCATTTTTGTATTATAACTTTGCGATATATGTGCCGAATAAATCAAGACATGACAATGACAAAGCTGTCTGGTTTACCGTGGCTCGTGGTTGAGGGTGAAATGATCAACGCCGAGGATTCTTTAAATCGCTAAATTTAATTATCTTAAGATTACAGTTACGATTTATATTAAAATAATTAACGTTACAACACGCAATCTGCACGGACCGCATTCGAATCTTTCAAAAAAATATTCTCATACACGCGTATTCGCGCTCTTGTCGTCCTTTTCCCCTCTTATTTCTCTTCGCATTTAATTTTAATATTCGTATGTGTCGTCGAACTTCGGCCGAGCTGTAAGATAGGCGTACTATCGGATACACGTGAAATAACATTTCAAATAGCAAGAACAATTTTAAGCACCATTTCGAAAACTCGTTCCAACAAACGGAAATGATTCCGTCTATTCCATTTTCATGTGAAATTAATGATAACCATATTTCTTTTATTGGTTCCTATTACCGAATCGTACTGTACATTACAACGGAAATTTGAACTGATCGAATTTTCCGATGTGTACAAAGGTTAAATCTACCTCGCAGCTCGTCCGCCGTTAAGCTTGGTCTAACGATACCGAAAATACTGCTTCATTCTGTTCTCTTCCTTCCTTTCATCGCTACGATATCTATCTTATTTTATATTTCGAAAATATCACTAGTAGTACATGGCGCGTGGTATGGTTTCCATCGAATCGATTTCTTTTCAATAAACGTCGCACGAACGAAACGTAACTGCGGCTCCGTTTCGCGAACGATCGGGGAATCGAGACAGATCTTTTCGTTTAGACGCTAAACCTGTCGACGCTGTTTAAAGGAACGATCGACGACCACCTGTCTATATACAAGATTTTGTAAAAAATTTCTTTTGCTCTCTGGGTTCTACGCCCGATGCGATACAAAATCTTCGAACTGAAATGAAAATCGTTCGCGACTTTGTCAAACGATAAGTACATACGACCCGTCAGAACTTGTGCCCGAAACGGGACAAAGAAACATACGCGATTTAATCAGCTTTAAACGGAAGTAATCGAATGAAATCTGCCAATTGATGTTGATTTCGAAAAGGATAGAAATTCCGAGTTCTGACAGGCGACAACTGTCGTATAACATCGAAAGTAAAACCTTCTGAAGGGAAGAACAGCTTCGAGAGAAAGGAAAGGCGAATTTGGGACGCGTTTCGCAAGGATAATCGACGTTGAAATGCAACGGTAACAGTATTTCGTTAGCTATGACGGTAATGGTAGTTAGAATTTATAATCGAAAACTACTCTAGCTGTGATACATGTTTCTAAAATTTCAATGCTCTCGTCGAATGTTGGTTTTCCTGTTTAGTAACTTCCGTACGGTCGGAAGCGACGAAAAACTGTCGCCGACGACAAGTGTTCGATGTCACTGATTTCTATTCTCGGAAAAGGAAAATTCATTTCGGAAGAATCGCTGTTTCTCTTTGACAGATCGATTATACGTTCGGTCGAAGAAATTTCCTGTTGGATTCATCTACGATTGGTTCTCGTTCAAGCAAGAAGATTCTTTTTCAACCGTTCAGGACTCGCTCGATAGGCTCGATACACGCCCATTCTGAATTCAAGCTGTATAAATAACTGTCACAGGATTCTCTTCGGTGAAAACGTTGAACGAAACGAATGTTTCTCACATTTTATAGCGAAATTTCTTCTCCGACGGTTTGTTCTTTCGGAAAGGAGAGTCGAGTTCACTAGAACTACCAGATGGATCGAAACGACCCGTTCCTCCTCGAAGCATACGAATGCTTTTTCGATAATCGGTCGAGAAGAGTAGTCGATTCGGTAATATAAATGAAAGTACGAGTCGATCGATATCTTAATAAACGCACTGGGGTCTATCGTGTCTATAAAAACATGTTTGAAAGTACATCGAACTGCTCGGTAGTTCCAGCGTTGAAAACAATGGAGCACCGAGTGGCAGACTCGTGCTAATCGATATCGTATACAACTATGATACGTAAATATACATATATTACTCGTTAAAAGAGGAGAAGAAAAGTTTGTTTGCAACGTGTAGGAGAATGGACGCGCACGGTGAACGAATCACAGTCGGACAAATTCCTGCCGGTTCCCGAGGGTTCCCGAGGGTTCCTGTGGTGTCGAAGCTTTCTCGATAATTCGAAGCGTATACCGGTGCGCGGTTGATCGATCATTCGAATTGGCGAGCCATCGATTAGGAACGTATCTTTGAAAATATTGTTACATCGCGAGATTATACCGATGTACTCTCGAAAATATCTCCTCGTGAATAAATATTTGGCAGCTTTCGATTCAGTACTTTCGATACCTGCTCCCTTCGGTCGATAATCAACTCCGGGGCGAAGGAGATTCGGCGCGTCGTGGTGTCGCCGACAGCCGTGTAAATCCTCGATTTCTCAATTGGTCCATTTAATCTTTCGTCGGTCGGCTGACTGCGAGGGGGACACCGCGATGACTGTCCTCAGAGAAAGTAGAATACCCAGTAGATTATATTGAACAGCATAAAACTGACCGGGAATATGATCCTCGAGTATTTGTCGATGATATTCACGTCCTTGATCTTAGGCATGGACACTCGCAACACGGACGCTCCCCTTCGTATCGCGTGCAACACCTGCAACCGTTGTCCTTTCACCTTTGGACCCGCATCACCCAATCATATTTCATCGAGTACAGAATCTTTCATTGAAAGTAATCATGGAAATCAAATGGAATTTACTTTGAGAATTTCGAAATCGATCGGATTCGACGGTTTCGCGGCCACCTTCTCTTATCTTATCCTTCAATCGTTTGTCAATCAAATAAATAAATTAAGGGAATCGTACAGTTTTACCTTTGGTTTATGATGTTTAGGCCCCCTGTATCTAAGACCGATGTTCCTTCCGTGCGTATTGTAGGCTGCGACTCTGGAAATGCGAAAGCTAGGAGGAAACTTGGCCGGATCGTGTTCTCTTCCTGTTCCGGGAGTCGAACCGCCGCTGATTAGGCCTGATCTATTCCTTATGCTCGGCAGAGGAGACATTCGGAGATCCTGAAGCTCTATTATATCCGCTTCCGTGGAACCAGCAAACGGAGAGCTCGCTTTGCTTCCTGCCAAATTATTTATTTTTCCTCAACGTTCGTCGATCCGTTTCGCGTTTCGTGCATTACGTTCTTTTCAACGACAGGGTAAAGTCCCTAGTTAGCTTTCTACCATAGAATCGGAAACTTTGAACTCGCTATTGTGAAATAGATTGCAGCCTTACAGACGCATAGCCGAAGAATGGAGCCCCACCTGCTTTGGAGGAAATCACTTTCTTCTCGTCGGATTCTTTCTTTTTCGTCTTCTTCTTGGCTCTCGCGCCCCAGTACGTATAATTTACAGCGGCGTACTCCAATAGAGCCGCGAATACGAAAACGAAGCACATTACTAAATATATGTCGATAGCCTTTACGTAGCTGATACGCGGCAGTGAGCTACGCACGCCTGTCGAGATTGTGGTCATCGTCAGGACAGTTGTTATACCTATGAACCAACGAATAATCGCTTTCAAGAAACTTTCTATTACTTTATTTCATTCTGGTGTCATAGAAGGAAAAGCGCGAATCGATTGGTAGTCTCAGCCAGGTGTCGAGGACTCTTTAGCCTAGGATCTAGGTATCAAAGGGAGAACGGCCGAACTGTCTAGTCGGCTAATCGTTCGATCGAGAGAGGATATCGGGAAAACGTTTCCCTTCTTCGAATCAGGTTCGATAAACAGACGTGAGATATTTACCGAGAGCTACTCTGGCGCTGGTTGCTTCGTGGTTGATCCAGAAACTGACCCAACTCAACATCACGATCAAAATGCTGGGCAAGTACGTCTGGAAAATGAAGTAGCCGATGTTCCTCTGAAGTTTGAAGCTCAACGAAAGTCTTTGATATATACCGGTGGCCAGTCTCTCTTTGCGATCGTTCGTTTCGTATCCGATTATCGTGAATTGTGGCAGTTCCGCTTCTTCGACTCCGCGGACCGGAGTCTCCTTCCAGTACATCACTACGTCCAACACCGTGTATCCGTCTGAGAGAACCAAGGTTTCCGGTTAGCCGTCTTCCAAATCATTCTTCCCTTTTATTCTACGTTTCGCTTTCGCTTCGTTTCATTTACGTTCCGATGGAATTTCTTTCGAAGCTAGGAGAAATGGGCTTAAACTTCTTCTCCGATCGCGATAGAAATACACAAAAATCATCTGTTCGAGCGGCGCTCCGTAGACTGGACTACAGTCCGCTGGAACACACAGTCTAAGCGCGTTTCTCCCGTTCGCGTGCCAATAGAGAAGAATGGCTATAATCGGGAAACATCGGGGAATTTTCCTAATTCCGACACAGAATAGGCAAAGTTTCTAGGGCAAAGAAGAACTCTGCAGCGGCAGAGTTTAATCTTCAATTCGAATCGAAAGAGTTCCTGCGACTCGGCCTATCCTTCAATTGGACGCTTAATTGGACGCTTAATTGGACGTTTAATTGGACGAGTCATTCTGGGGGACAGAGGTCGACGGCAAGAACAGGAGCTACTGAAGGTAATAGTAACGATCGTACAGCTCTCGATCTCTACGGTGCAGTTCTGCGAATCGAGCGGATAGTAGTGCAGATCCATCATGCAGGCCAGGGTCGTCGTAAATCTCATGCCATAAGTGACAGATCCGTCTCCGGACAATCGGACGAGTTTATTACGCTCGGTCACGTCGTGCAAGAAACTGCGAACAAACCGAAAACCAAAACATTTTCCTTCTCAGCCTCATCCTACATTCGAAATGTATATCTTTCGAGTACACCGGGACACCTTTTCGTTTTTTAATGCCGATTCGATCTTCCGCTTCGAGTTAGTTTCTATGGAAAGCGGACAATCGATTCCACATTATCCCCTGCACCGTTAAAAGAAACGTTTATTCGACTGCAACTTTTCTCTTTCTTTTCAGAAGGTACCGCGTTACGCGGAGTCCCGTTGTACATCGGACACGCGAGTACACAGCTACGATTTCATAGTCGATTACTCGTAAAGTCCTACCAGTGAAATCCTACGCGAGCTACAACTACATATTCGAGCGTAAAAGATCTTTCAAGTTGAACATTTATACGTTTGCTTCTTACGCTGGAACGATAAAGTGTACGCGATAGAGACGTTCGTAGATCTAGAATTAAATTCAATTAGCGCTAAAAAAAATATGTTGAAACTTCTCGAACGCCATAGTTGAGAAAAATATAAATGAGAATAGATATCTAAGTGTAAACTGCTGAGTTTATTAGATGAAACTTTTCAGATCCCAGAGTTTCCGGAAACCCCGGAAATTTGCGTCGCGATGACGACCAATTCGTCGAGAAGTCGATTCACGATAGTTTCGTTCGGATGCGTTCAAGCTAAACGGGGTTCGATCGGAATGATCCGTACCTGTTTTTATCGTTGGCGAAAAACGTGTCCGGAACCCAAATCTTCTCGGCGAAGTCTCCGCTGAGAGTGAGGACCTCTTCTTCCTGGGAGAACGCTAACCGTTCGTCCTTCCAGTACTGATTTAGGTACATCGTTATCGTGTAGTCCTGTCGCAAAAACAATCAAATGTTGTTGTCTTTCTTCCGGTTACCGAGGAATTTCAATATGGGCGTACAGCGAAAGTGTGAAATTCACGAAATTCACGAAATTCACGAATAATCGACAGATACGTATTAGCAGAGCAAAGTGGAGAATTTCGAGAAATCTTTGTAGCGTATCGATAGATATAAATATCTGCGATTCACCATGTTTACTTCCGAGATGGCGTCGAAACTAGCGATCGTGAGGTCCATTCCCACCAGCAGGGGTTCCCCTGAAAAAAGAAAACACCAGAGGATCCGATCCAAGATCTGGAATGATAACGCGCCGATAAATCGACGAAGATTACTTGGCGGCGTTAAGCGGATTGGATGCTCGGTATGATCACTGGCCTGTAAAAAGTTCGTAGCCGCGCAATTCGATTCCTTGACATCGATACCAGTCCTGCACCGCTCAACGCTGGCGTATCAAGTTTTTCGGAGAAGTAATTCGACATTTTTCAACGGAAATTCGAATGTTCCAACGGAACAAAAGATTTTACCGGAGACCAAAAGGAAACGCGGATTCAGCGAATCTTTCGGAACGAGGAAAATTACTTTCTAGCCGTTACGCGTAAATAGGGTGTATATAGGGTACGCGACGCATCGCACTTACCACCGAAATTTGGTCTCAATCGAATGTCGTATCCATCGAGAATTCGCGATATAGTCTGTGTTACATTTTCCAACCTATCGGACACCCCTGTGTTCTCGTAACTGGCCCTGAAACATTTGCAACGTTCGATCCACTGGTTATTCTTTTCCGATGTCAGCGTCTAACGAGATGTATATATTTTATATCGTACATCTAAATAGACGGGTATATTAAGTATGTATCTCTAACAGAGACAGGTATATATTCGATAACGATCGAAGGTTCAGTTTTTCGTTGAAATTGATCTAAGCGACGAGCATCGAAACCACTGTCCCAGTTTCAATGTTTCGGTGGCTCGGAATATTAGTGGTCTCCCTCCTACTTTCGAGTTCTCCAGAGAGAAAAGCTTTCGCCAAGTATTCTTGAACGAACGAAATACATTGTAACAATTAGTATCGAATCGATCGAAGAATAATTCGAATAATCGAAACCACTATTATTCCGAAGCACCGATCGATCGTTCCGACGCGTTCGATTCCATGGATGATTTACCAGGTAACCAGGTAGATCGTCTGCAGCAGTAGGATGATCTGCTGCAGCCTCATCCTGTTCACCATCCTCGGAAATTACGTCAGCGGATAAAAGAGGACGTCATCTCGTTGGGTTCTTGCACCTCGTCATCGAGCCGCCAGAAACTGTAACCAGAACCGACCCGATTTTCGTCCTTGACCTTTATTATGCATACATCGCCCAATAGTCCGTCTCTGACTCGAACCCTTTCATCAACCGCGCAACTAGAATAAATTCAATGGGTAGCTTCCCTCGACGAGAATTTCTCGGCATTTCTTTTCGAGATTATAATTAATCTCTTACCGAGACGCGAGGTTATTCGATGGGATGAATCATTCATGTATGTAGAAACGCGACGTAAAGGGTAAACTACATCTGCGGGCGTCCTAAAGAGTAGTCTCTTATTCGTATCTTTTGATATTCATATTTATATACTTCACACGGAGTATGAAATATTTAGCGAAATGTCAACGTTTTAAGTCGAACGTAATTAAGTCGATCGAGGAATCGTTAACGAAACCGAGTAAGGAATTTTTTTCATTTACCACATCGAACTGTGTTTAATCCTTCGATTCGTCTTCAATGATTCTCTTAAAAGCCACGTATTAAACGTTCTCAATGAAATCGGTATTTTATCGTTCGTTCGTATCGTGCGCGGTAATATAAACATTTATGAAATTCCGTTCTTTTCTCAAGATGTAACGTGTATTTTTGGAAAAGTGCTCCGATTTCGCTACCCCGCGCGGTCGAAGCTTATTGTCGTCGGAAAAAACGAAACGAAACAAAAGAAAAGAAAAGAAAATCGATGAAGTTTCCTGTGTCATCGTGCTTCATTCGTGAATAAAATGCTGCCCAACTTGTTCGATCGCAAAGACGATTTCCAGAGAAAGAGTAAACGACTCGCCGAATCGGCAACCATAAAATCACCAAATACGAATCGAGGGTTCTGCTTGAGATCGTCGATCTTATCCGACGAAATCGCACGCATTCTCGACGGTTCAAAAGGGAAATGAAAAGGCGACTTCGAGAAGGAGAAGAGCACCGTGAAACTGTTGAATCTCGTAAAGTTTCAGAGCATCGAGAAAGCAAAAGATCGTTGGTCTCGAGTCAGAAGAGAAAAAGAGGAGACATGTGCGCGAGTCCCGTGCGAAGGACGTTCTCCGTAGACGAGGAAGAGGAGGAAACGGGGATGTGCTCGATACGGGCAGCGGGCAGCGGCCGAGGCGGGATCTGCGGACATCGTTAAAGGGGCAACTTCACCAGGAGTCAATGGCTCTCGCCCCGTGCACCCTCGTCACCGACACCCATCAAAAGGGCCAGCACTCTTTCACCACCGATCGGACAGGTTCGTTCACGAGCACTATCCAACGTCGACGTGGTTGTCGAGGATATGTCCCGACGGTTCGGATGCTGCGCGCCGCTCACCCTCCCTCCACCCTCTTCGTTCGGCCGTTTCCCCTCGGCCCGCTGCTCGCGGTCTCCCTGCTAACCTCCTTTCGGGCTCTCTCTCTCGGGCTACATTCGTCCTCACCGGTGGCGCGCGAGGCGCGCTAGGCGCATCCTTTTCATCCCCGAAAAGGTCTACCCCGAAGGTTGGCAATTTAGCGAGTTAGCATCGCGAACACTGGGTTCGACGAGCGTTCACTCGGCCAGCACTGCTTTTTCCGAGGTGTTTCACTCGCGACACAACGCCACCCCGTTCCTTTCACCCTTATCGGATTTTTCTGGAGACGCGAGGCATCCTCTCACCCCGTCCGCTTCCTGCGTCTGAGCGGTATCTCCGTATCTGCGCGGTCGTATCGCGTCTGGTCGGTGCCCGCGGTGTTTTGCCCCGTTATTTTCACTGTTTCGCGGCCGCCTCTCACCTATTTATCTTCCGCCTCTGTTTAGACACCGATAACGTCAGCCTGTATCTCCCCGTGCTCGCCATACCTCGGTTCCGGAGGCGGCACGGAGGCTGCCTGCTCGCGAAACGAACCAGCACGCATGTGCAGCCCCGTTCTTCTTCTACGCGACCTACTGACACAGAGTCGGATCTAACCCCCTGCTCGCTGCTCGCTCCCCGCTGCCGCCGCTGCCGCCGCCGCCGCTGACGGGGGATCGAACCGCGGACAACCCCGAGCGCACGGATTTCTCCTGGAACACGGACCGGCATCGAGTGTCGTTCACCTTGCGCGATTCGTGTCGCGTAGATCTCGTATCCGCGATACGTTTTCGAACTTTTATTAGGTCGCCCGATACGATGAGCAGCGTCGTTTCTCAACGAATTTTCGAATACTTTGCACCTCGAAGACAAGAGTGTCTCACCGCTCGATTCTCTCTTCCATCCAATAACGATAAGCTTTGTAAATCGATACGCGAAATGTACATCTCTAGATAATTTCCCGGAAGTCGGAATCGATCGGAAATCGTACTCGATTCCCCGAAATTCGATGAAATCGAGAATACATTAGAGTAGCGTTGTTCACCGGCCTTTTACATTTAAATACCAAAGATCCATTAAATTCCCATTTCCCGACTGCGCTCGTTAGGCAAACATCGAATTCGCCTGTAAAACCCTTCGATATTTCGCAACGCGAGGCGCATCATTGGGAGAAATGTTCCGGCAGCTAGAAAATTTCGTTTCCTTTCAAAAATCCGGGGATGAAGAGGAATTCTCCGGTTAACTGGAACGAGATCGGTGAAAGTGTTTGAAAAAAAAAGAAGGCGAAACTGAATCGCCAGGTTTCGCCTCGGCATTAAGACACAGCTCGTGAATCCTTCTTTCTTTTTCGCGATGTTGTCGATGTTGTCCTAGTTTTTTCGAAGTAGGCAGATTCGCAGGGAAAACCTGAAGGAGCGAGCCAGTTTTTTCCCACCAAGGAAGTATTCAAATCGAAATTCTAAATCGCTTCGCTCTCAACCCTTTGCCCTAGAATTTCACGTCAGTAATGAACTTAGAGTTTTTCTCTCTTTTTAAAGAATTGTCAACTATAGTATAGCTCTGTGTAATTTCGAAAGAACCTTCTTTCCCTTGTTACGAAACTTTGCGAAGAGCATTATTGGTTAGCGTACTTGCAAAATTCAAGATGACTTCGATTACCTATGTTTCGCAGGAAGAACGAATAAAGATCGAGCACACTCCAGTCCACGGTAATGATTACTTTACTTACACCGATTATTATCGGCGATACTCGCGATAATAAACGATCTCTACTCGGAACAAAGTTATTATTGCAAAAAAGATACAGGGATCCTATATTTTACGAAGGAAAAAACCGTTTCGGATAGAGATGTATGAAAATCAATATTTATGGTTTCGAATGATTTGCGTACGATACTTGGAGATTCCTTCGACATCGTGCTTTTTGATATCGCTTGTCGTACACGAAAGGACAACGGAGAATCGAGTAAACTTTGAAGAAAGTTCGTTGCACGTTGCCGAAGGTAGGATTATTGGAGTTTGCGCGGCAGAATGTTTCGCCTCCCAGGTGGGAGATCCACGAGGATCTGTCACAAGAATCGTATGTAGATCTCGCTAGCAAGTGCCGGTATTCGGTTCGAGGTTCTTCAATTTTTCGGCAATAACCCGTGGTGCTTTTCGACAAATATATATTTCACCGGCGAATTCGCTGAAATGTTCATGTAAGTAATTTCTTTGCTTCGCTCTAGACGCACACGCACAAACTCGCACTATTTTCCGGGGCTTCGAACGGTAACGCGTTTCATCGACACTTTAAACGTTGATTTTACACATGTACAAGTTTTTATTTCATTTTCGATTCACTGCACTTTATTCGATCATTATTTTATCATTTCTAGCAGGCTATCGCACGTTCTTCGTATCGTCCTTTATATTAAATGGCAACTTATTCGCTGCTTTAGTAATATCTCCTTCGTATTAAATTATTACTCATTTTAATGCATAATACGGTACAATTGTAGCACAATATAGTAGAATTCGTAACAATTACTATTATTTCATTATTATTCTCGTTAACCGATAGAACGAACGTTAAAGGAAGACAGATATTTCTCGCGTCAAACGAACACGAAAAGTTTCCGGGTAAAGGTTAGAAAATCGTTAAAAGCAATTACGTAACAAGTATCGTTTGAACGAGTAAGTCTTAAACGAAGAAGATACCGTATAGATCTATCGGCGGAACTATCGCAACGATCAACCGAATTTTCCGGAAAAACGTATATAAGCCGACTTCGGTGGAAATGAGCTTTCAAAAGAGACGATACCCGGTAAAAAGTGAAAGAGAAATAGAGGATTTACAGGTGTGCAAATAAATTTCTGCATATATGTACCACTGCGCGAACAGTGCGGAACTTTAGTTGCCGTATAAACGTGGAAAAAGAGGAGGTTTTATTTTCGCGTTCTCTCTCCTCTCTGTACGAGAGACACCGAATATTTCTCACGGTCAGGATGTCTAACGGACTATATTAAACATCGAATCGTACCGAAGAATATATTATGGTAATGAAAGCTCTGTCAGAGATCGGCATTCCGAGTCGGTTGTTTGGCCAGCCTCACAAATATGCCCAGTATTGGCACAGGCCGTTAATGAAAAGCTGAAATTAAAGTGGTACGAGTCCCTGGTAAACGTGTATCCGCGATACATACCCGAAAAAAAAACAAGAAACAATCACCAGTCCTTTTTTTCGACAGTTCCTTTCTTTTTTCTCGTCATCGGCCCCTTTTTTCACAGAGAGGAGACTTCGTGGTAGACGTACACATATTTCCAGCTACGTCGAATAGAACCTATCTTTTCGTCCAGATTTGGTAATCATTTCGGTTGAAGGTACCTCGGAATCCTTAGAAATATCCTAACGATCGAAATGTTCCGAATTTTTAGAAATTTCTCGAGCCGCCGTAAGATCGCTTCACCCGCGAAACTAATAAACGGATCGCATATTCGATGGATTTACGCGACACGTAGATACTTCTCAAAGCGAAAGACAAGCTTCTATTCAAATGTCACCTTTGCAGTCGTCGTGCACGTTACTTTAATTGAACCTTCTTTAATTCTCTAAACAGATCGACGTCTCCTTCTTTTCCAATACAAGACCAACTATGAAGAATTAAAGAAAGGTTTCTCGTAATTGATAAAAATCAAACATTCCGTTCAGCGTATACGCGTATAATTAGCAAATTAGCCAATGCGAAACCTTCCAATGTATATTACACGCGTACTCGCATACTTTCTACTTACTTCAGCCGACCAAGACGGGGGCGTCCATTATACTCGCGTACAATTGAATTCAATATTGAAAATGACTTTTTCTGTATGCTCGTGCAATCCGCGCGATCGAACCGAATGCTGAAAAAGAATTTTTTTCTACCTCGGTATATTACTATTCGGCTCAGCGGTATAAGCCGAGTATTGCTTTGCCTCGAATTGTCTTTCGAATAACGTTTAATACTCGGAAACTGGTATTTTTCCGGACGCCGACGTTAACGTTGTTACCGGGTTTAACTACCGGGCGTGTTTAATACGATTAATACGATTAATAGCTCATTCCGGCGAAACTATTTTTCAAATCGTTCCGGATATTTGGCAGTTTCGAGGTATCGACGATCGCGAAGCAAGAGAGACAGAGATTCGAGATAAAGATTCGTTCGAATGACAACAGCCGAGAAACGGCGGATCGAGGAACGTTACGAGCGAGCGAAACACTCGAGGGAAAAAAGGGGCCGTTGTTTTTCATAGTCCGTTTGCGAAATGGCACCGGAAGGACTCGAAGGGCGATTCTGACGTAACGAGGGAGAACGTTCACTCGAAAGATCGAGGGGTACCCTCGTCGGAAGTTGCTGAATCCGCGGCTAAGGAGAGCTCTCTTGTGCGCCCATCCCCCGTCCGCGGCCCCCGTTTTCAACGGCCACCCACATGTGACCCTGCTTCGCCTATCTTCAGTTTCTTTTTTTCCACCGATCGTTCTTTAATCATTCACGCTTTTCTTCGTCCCACTTTCTTCTTCTTTCAATCCTAAACAATTAAACATTAGCTAATTCTAGAACTGTTTCAAACTTCTATAACGGCACCGATCTCTCGCATATAGAAGATAAAACTCGAGGATAGATCGCGATGCGTTTTCTTCGCTCGTTAACAATCTCTTTCTCGCGATAAGGTGTGCACGAATTTCAGTAGGATCATACTTATCGCCGTAATTATTCGATCCGAACGCGAACAAGAACCGAGCGACTTTATGGAAATGTCGGGCACCGTATCGGTTCCAACCGAGTAACAGTTATGTAATACCGGCATATCGGATATTACATCGGATATTATATTGTATCGGTGCTGGAACTGTTATTTTTCGGCTCTGCATCTCGTTCCGTGGATTCCTTTCGTCGATCAAAGCAAAACGAGGAATGAGATCGGTAATTTAGATGTAGATCGACTAAAAGTTGGCCGACTGTTCCTATCGAAAGAGAAACTGATACGTATTTTGTTTCGCAGGCTCGTGTTTCTCGTGCTACTCGCGTCGCGCAAGGATCCGAATTACGCTCTCGACGTTTCTTCCCCGTCCCCGAAGGCATCCTCGAAATCCGCGGTGCACAGAGGGACCATCAACGACATCGTCTCCAAAAATATTACCCTGGTTCTCGAGAACCTCTTGATGAATTACGAAAACAATCAGCTGCCCACGCATGGAAAGGGTAACGTTTCGTTTCACCGGTTGATAACCGGAAACTTGGCTCTCGGAAATATCTAGGATACCTCGAACGGTCGACGAGACAAACGATTTCCAAGTAAATAACGATTTACGACGAACAACGCGTATCCATCGTTCGTTGTTTCACGCTAATGAGCGGAACAACGAAGGAATTATTCGAAATTCTCTTCGGTCTCGCGTCGTTATAAAATTCTTGATAAAAAATCCAAAAGCTGCGAAACGTTGGGGCTCGATTTCACCGTTTCGAAGAGATTTTTAATTGGAAAAAATATTTCTCGCGTAATTCATGATGCTCCAGCTGCACGGCAAATTTCGTTGCAATCCGAGTTTCCATGAATAATTTTCCCTGTCAGCGTCTGTCCGTCCATGGAATCGCGTTCCGCCGAAATTCCTTTTAACGCAACATCGAACTCGACAACTGTAGAACGAACAGCTTCTTTGCTCGCGGTATTGTTATGTTTTTATTATTTATTTATTTCTGTTGTCTTCCGATGTCCGTGATAAAATTAAACGATTACCGGAAGCTATATATATATACACATATATACTCGCGCGTGGGTTTTAGTCCGAATTATTCATCCGGCCATTCCGAGTAATCCGATTTGCTAAAAAACTGTTTGCTCGTACTTGATCGATTAACCAGAAGTTATAATCCGATCGATTTAATCTAACGCGATGCAGAGATTGACCGCTTACGGATATTTCTTCGGACGAAACGATGAGGTTTTCCACGCGTTTGCGTCGACGTTCGGTAGCGTCGAGACGTCTACCGCTTCGACGAACAAGTTTCTTTTTTCGACAGAAACGAGTGCGACGTCGGACAGTCCGTGTTGGCTCCGATCTGTGTTACCGGAACAAACTGTCCATTCTCGAAGTCTTTCCGATCTGGACAAGGGTTCGAAATTTCCTGCGACCGATGTTTGCTCCGTGCTCTGCGCGTTTCTCTTCTTCTCTGTCAGTTTACCACCGAAACGCGTTCGAACGTACGAGATCTAATGGACCGGAGGAACTGTTTCCACAGGAAAATTAATAAACCTCACAGTTTTCCCAAACGATTGTTCATCGACTTTCTATTCGTCCGTGAAAGTCGCTCGACCGCAGCGCGATTAACGAACGCGCCCAAGGAAAAATTCGAATGGAACTTTTGTTTATCGAACGAATGTTTTCCGTCGTATCCGACGTATCGTAGGCGAGCACCGGCATCAATGGCTTGCACCATTGTGCAAGGTAGCGGTACGTCTAGTAAAATGGTGCGGTTCGAGCGTCGATGTTCAAATGATTCCCGATCGTTGTAACAACCTTCGACGAGTGATTCGGCGAAAGGGGAAAATAGGAGGCCGATACGAATACATCGATACGAATCGAACCGCGGGGTTCAAGTTGGACGGCAGCCAGCCGAAGAAAAGTATCCTCCCAAAATTACCTTTATTCCCACCGTGCGCTTTCAATTTTCCCTAATTTTCCTTTTTTGCTTTTCCACGCGAAGGACGCGAAACCGAATGCTACAATGGCTAATCTTCTCGATTCTTCCGGCCGAAATGCTCTCGGATGGCGAATCTGCATTTCTATGAAATTTTTTATACGGACATTCGCTGACAGCACAAGAGGACACGACGCGTTTATTTTTCCACTGTTTTCCTAGACGAGCCACCGACAGCGAGTAAAATGTAATAACAAACGTCGAAGATCGGATTTCATCGAAAATTCAGATGTTCTTGTCAGAAACGAATTGGAATTTCAACGATTCCATTAATGGTAATGTAATTGAAATCGCGATCGGATCAGCGGCGCGATGCTGTTCGCGCTATAAAGCGATATCGCCGGCAGCGATCGTATCTAATTACGGAAATGACTAATGTTCGTACGAGCCGCACAGCTGTTCGCTAATTTCAATGTACGCTGCGATGTTTTCCCGACAAAAGTCTGATTATTCCGATCGCTCGATGCGATTCTCTCGTTATTCGTGAATCGAAGCGCGACCAAGGTAACACGGGGTATTGTAACGTTTTACAAGAATATCCGAGACACCGATGAAAATGTCTGTTCTCAGGAATACCGACAGTGGTGAAAACGAATATTCTGATAAGAAGCATGGGTCCGGTGTCCGAACTCGACATGGTGAGTCTGGAAAGTAATTCCTTCTCTATAGTTTGGTTGGTGCCGATGTGTGCTAGTTACGTTTCCGTAGGATTACTCGATGGACTGCTACTTTCGGCAATCGTGGCGAGACTCGCGGCTGAGCTTCTTAGGTCCAATCAAGTCGCTCAGTCTGAGCATTAAGATGCTCGAACGAATCTGGAGACCGGACACGTATATTTACAATGGAAAGCACAGCTACGTGCACACCATCACGGTGCCCAACAAGTTGTTACGAATCTCGCAAGACGGAGATATCCTTTACTCCATGAGGTACCGATATTTCCGTTAACGATAACAACGACTGTAACGCGAATTCAATGAAAATGGATTTCAATCGGAAAACAGGCTCACCATAAAAGCAAAATGTCCAATGGAGCTGAGGAACTTCCCCATGGACCGACAGTCTTGTCCACTTATTCTTGGAAGTTGTAAGTATTTTCGGTGTAGTTCGAGTCAAGAGTATAGTCTGTCTCGGAAGAATAGTACACGCTTCCGATATCGTCAAATGAAAATCCAACAATTTCTTCTGTCCGCGTTGCACGTTAAAATTCCATTTGATTTTTCATACGGTGAATACGTTTTCGTAGCTACTCGCGGTTTATGCTCGCCATAAATTCTCCTCCGTCTCGTTCGAAATTCTATTGGTATCGCGTTGGCATTACTATTTTCCAATATCTGGCAAATGTGTGTGTTCTCCGTTGAATCGATTCGAAATCCAGGAAACAAGCGACTGCGTCGGGAGAAATGATTTGTATCGTTAGACGTAATCTCGATTTAAGGGCGGATTTCGGTTTCAGATGCGTACACTTCCGGGCAATTAGTTTACGAATGGCAAGGGGGTTCCTCCGTCAATTTCGTCCCTGGGATGGCGCTCTCGCAATTCGACCTGATGGGCTCGCCGTATCGCAATTTAACGTATTTTCGCCGGGAGGGTGAGTTCTCGGTTCTCCAGGTTTCCTTCAACTTGCAACGGAACACCGGATACTTTCTTATACAGGCAAGTCGAACCACGGTTGAGCGTTTCCACGCTTTTTCTCGAGAGACAACGATCCACTGTTCAATGAACGTTTACAGGTGTACGTGCCCTGTGTCCTGATAGTGGTGCTCAGTTGGGTGTCCTTTTGGATTCATCGAGAAGCCACCAGCGATCGCGTCGGCTTGGGTCAGTTGCTCGTCTTTCGTATTCCTAAAGTATCGAGTAACCAGAAATTCAGAAATTCAGAAATTCAGAAATTCCGATAAGTAGAATAGATTACCAATTCTTTCGGTTTCTCTCTAAATGCTCGGTAAAAGCTGCGCGTGTACCAACGAGATAGAAGGTTGCGCCTGAAACGCGGCAACCGGTTCATCGCCGGCGCGCGCCCGGTAGATCCATCGCGACGTCTATCGCGTGTGTCTCCGAGTCGATGAGAAATATTTCATTGAAAAAACATGCCTTTTCAGGGATCACCACGGTTCTGACACTGTCGACCATCAGCCTCGATTCCAGAACCGATTTGCCGAAAGTCAGATACGCTACAGCCCTCGATTGGTTTTTATTGATGAGTTTTGGATACTGCATCGCCACTCTGTTAGAATTCGCCGGTGTACATTACTTTACAAAGGCAACTCTCTCTCTCTCTCTCTCTTTCTCTCTTTTCCTCCGCTATCGCTATGATATCGGAATCATTGTTAATCTTCTAATTAGATCAAAGAGTTTTGTAATTGTACGTCAGGTTGGCAGCGGAGAGATCCCTTTGGACGAAGAGGACCTCGAGGACGAGACCGAGGGGAATTACCAGGACGGATTCTGCAGCATTGTGCCCTGTAGTCCACAAACGGTCCATCCGGCGACTATAATCGACGTGCCTCGCCGAAGCAGTTCATTGATATGCGACGTTTACGACGTGAACGTGAGAGAGCGCCTCGAAATATTCGATCGCGAATCTTTATCGCGATACGTATCGCGTCGTTTTTTCCTTTAGGAATCAATGGCCTACGGCAGAGGATCGATGACCGTTTCCGTCACCTCGAGACCCTCGACGATGGAGCGACAGACGCAGACGGAAGTCTGGATACCAAAATGGCGGCAGTTTCTCTATTGTCTCGCCGGTGACGAGGCGTTCAGGTTAGAGATTTAATATTTTCTTCGAGAAACAGACTATCCAGAGGAAAGTTTATATTTTTCTGGCTGCAGGAGACGCAGACAGAGGGAAGCAGCTGGAAACTGCAGGAAACAAGGAGAAAAAATTGCCAGGCACATAAACAGCGTCTCCTATATCGACAAAGTGGCGCGTATAGTGTTCCCAGCCTCTTTCGGGTTACTGAACGTTTGCTACTGGGTGATTTACGTGACGTATCAAGAGGAATTCAAGTGGCAAGATCCGCCGATAGGCTCGATCTCTCACAAATAACAGGATTCGCTGAATCTATTCCTCTGAACAACAGTAATCTAACCGAATCTATAATTACAACGAAAAGTATCGAATAGTTGGGCAATTTTTTCGCGTTTCACCGTTCGTTTCGGCTCTCCGCCGGAAATCCGAACTTCTCGATTCTTTCAAAGAACGAATCTATCCATTCGATTCGATTGAAACAAGAATTGAAGAAACAACTAAAGACGACGTCGTTCCAATGAAAACATTAGCCATGTTTGCGTATCGTTTTACCCAACCGTGCGACGGAATTATCGATAAACTTTTTAAACTAAATAAAAAGACCGTATGTTCTCCACTTCTGTGTTTTCTTTTTGATCTTTTCCATTGAAAAAATACGAGGGTATATTAAGAACTATACAGAAATTAGGAAAGATAATGGAAAACAGAAATGCCGCAATTCGATTGGAGGATTGCCCCTTTTGAATTTTAGAACGAAGAACGTTCGCTCGTGCCTCCAGAGGTCAGTCGAGTCGGCAAACGTGTTCGAAGCGTGGTAAGAGCTTTGTTTCTTTTGCGGCTTCGTTTATCGCTAATTTTAGTCGTTACTAATCACAATTCACAATGTTCCGAAATGTAAGTAAACAAATACTACATCGTATCGTATAAAACCAATTTAGGCATGCCGTCTACATTCGAGAAAGAATATTTTTTTATATACGTTTTTATATATTTTTAGGTTATACCGAGAACGATGCAAAGTATTTTAGGTGTTAACTATAAACAAATGTGTACAAATATGAAGTTGGAAAAAAGTAAGTAAGCAATTTACCGCTATTACGTATTCTCGACGATTCTCGGCTAATAACGATTAATTCGATCAACAATTTTATTTCATTGTATCGTAAAATAACATTTTTCTCCGCTGATTGTTGTTTAATCGTATTAATTTATTACATATTAAAATACGAAATGTTCAAGTACGAGCTTTCGCGCAATATTTCAGCGAGTACTCGATGAATTTCGAGGTAAGCTGTGTACTTTCCGTGCTCTTATTATTTTATTAGATACGCTTCCAACTAAATAACAACAGTTTTACACGGATAGTTTCGCTGTCGCTTTTCGCGCCAAAAAAAATATCAGGGTAGCTACAATCGACGCGTATAGTAAGTAAAAAATGTACAGATCGAAATACAGGGGATAGCCGTTATAGGATCTTTCCTTTCGAGAAAACAGGCTTCGTTGAGGAATTTATCTGTAATCGATCGACCAAATTGTATAATGATATAGAATTAATTTACAGCTATTAATCAGATCACCCTATTGGGAAGGGTAGGAAACGATCCGCAAAAGAGGGGAAACGAAGAACATCCCCTCGTTACCTTTTCCCTTGCCACGCACAGTAACTACAAATATGGGAATGGTAAATTCTATTTATCTCGAAACGAATGAATATCGAACTTCGAGAAATTATTGTCATACGCGATATGTCCTGAGTTCCGATCGGTATGACTATATTTCCTCGAATAATAAATTCAAATAAATTGCAGGAGACTTCGTGCAACGAACAGACTGGCACAAAATATGCGTTTTCAAACCAATGCTCCGCGACACTGTGACAACCTACTTGAAAAGAGGCCAGAGAATACTAGTCATGGGAAAAGTGAGTTACGGTGAATATAAAGACGAGGAAGGTCATGCGAAACCTAGCACGGCAATAATAGCAGAGGAAATTGTATTCTTTCATATACCTTGACCCATAGATTTGCACATACCAATTTTGTAAGCATTTTTGATTATCGAATAAAGTACACCCCGGGCGAGATTGCGAATACATAACGAATACGTGCCTTACAATCTTGGTTTCCGTGTGAAACCGTTGTTCCGTCGTTCCCATAGGAATAACTGAAAGTTTCGTTTACGACGTACGACGGTTGTCCGAAAGGGGGAAATGAATCGACGCTAAGATATTTGCTTAATAAGTAAATAAATCTCTATTTACACGTTCTTTCGTTTGCAATGAGTTACACAATAAACGATCAATATTTGCCTAAAATTGTACAGTTTCATTTTATACAGGATCTATAAAAAGAAACGAAATATAAACTCTCTGAAGGAATCGAAAGGATGATAATTTGTGTGTTGGGAACAATATAAGGGTCCTCAATAGCATCGGCGCCCTTAAAAGTCTACGATACATACGTGTGTATGTGTGTCCTGTATGCATACATACACGGTATATTACTAAAGATACGCGACATCTCAAATTAAGATCGTTTCAAGCAAAAGGTCGGCCCTTGTTTCTCCAACCGATACGCGGATTCTAACGGCTCTGCCGATGGCTTTCAATATTAATCGCGAACGTTAAGAAAAATCCTCGACGCGACGCACAGGATCGCGGAGTAACGAGAAGAGAATAATATAATATCTGTCGGTTTTGTTTGAGAATCGTTTCGCGCCAACAGCAAGCTGCAACTGCTATAGAAATTACGTGGTTCGCAAGTGATTTATTTAAATAGGCCGACAAAATGAAATATTTGCCACGATCTGAATTTGCGTTGTTACTTTTAAGAACACAATCCGTGTTTGTGTGGCTGTGGCTGTGTGATTGTGTGTATGAGTGTCCGTGTGCGTGTACGCGTGTTTGTTTAATATATTTATAATTAATATAAATCGTTCTCTCATGAAAATTATATACAGGAAACAAAAGTTTTTTTTCTTTTTCTATGTATTCGCATGTGTTACAATAAAAACTTCACGGAGATCACAGTATACAAATAGCCAAATACAACTTTCTCCATTTATAAATCTCTTGTTTGCTAATACACGTTCCATTCTCACGGTTCACCCTCCCCCGTTTCTCTCAATCAAAGCGGTCGGGGGTTCGTGCGCGTTAGAGTGCGATATTGCATTTAACCGCGGTACGACACTCGAGCCACGAACACTGTGTGTATGTGTGTGTGTGTGTGTGTGTGTCGCACGGCGAGTTAGACGCGCGACGAATCGGAACGTGTACGCTCGGTACGATGATTACTCGAAACGACTTTCATAATCAACGAGTCGTCCCGTTCAATCGTTACGATTCGCCGTAACGATTCGTCGCACGATAAGTTTCGTAACGCGTACGAGCCCCGTTGTTCGCACTCACGCACGCACGCATTCTATCTCGCTTCCATCGACGCATTCGCACGTTTCTCTCCCTCTTTATGTCTTCGA